TGGATAAGATTCTACATCAGGTCGGATAGAGAAGCTTGCTGCTGATGGCAGGGGGACACAGAGGTTTCCCCCTGCAAGTCCCCGCAGACTCCTAGTTGTGCTTGAGGGTGAGACGCTCAAAGAGATACTCGCCCAGCTCAGCCTGGGAGCCGCCCAGTCTCCTAATGTTGGTCAGATGGTCACCCATCTTCTTCAGCAGTTTCGCTTCCTCGTACAGGAAGTGGTTCTCCAGAAAGTCACAGAGATGGGGTTCAGTGTGGGCGGAACCCACGGCGTGCGGATCCAGAAGGGCCTGGTTTAGGTTCTTCTCCAAGGCCAGCGCTGCCTGCATAACGTCCAGGGTTTTACCCCAATCATCCTGGGATGTCTTCTGGATATCTTGGAAGAGGACTCGCCCGCCGCGCTGGTTTTGCAGCTTCAAGAGCCGCTCAGCACCCTCGCGCTTCTCACTCGCCAACTCGCGGAAGAAGTGGCCCACGCCTTCCAAGGCCACATCATCGCGGTGAAAATAAAAACCCAGAGAGAGGTAGGTGTAAGAGGCCCACAGGTGCAGGTTGACCAGACGGTTGACGCCAGCTTCTGCTTCGGCGGAATAATTTTGACGGATCTGAGTGCTCAAAGTTGGTCGAGGTTTTGGGGCTAACAAAAAAAAAGGTGTTCGCTGGTCCCGAAAATAGGAGGTGGTTGAGATGATCCCGAGGTTACGCCTTGAGGTGAAGTTGGAGGGTAGTCGGAGGTTGGAAGCGGGGAAGGCGCCGGGTCTGTTCCGTCCAAACACTGTTGAAGCAAGAGACAAATCCACGGGACCGCTGGGGGACTCTAAATTTATTCTTGAGGTAAAAATGTAAATTCAAGTGAGATACACTCAAGTACATATTTTGACTTTTATAGACTTATTTTGATTTTATACAGCTTCAATTTTATATCACATCTGAGTAGTTGAACTGAGTGGTTCCACAATTACCTCCTTACCTTATTTTGACTTAAGAGATTACATTTCCCTACTCTTTCTTTTCACAGATGTATTCAGTTATATTCTGGTATATCCCATCTGGTAAAATATGCTTTTAAGTTGTGTACAACTCAGTGAACATATGAACAGCACGTCTGATCCCTGTCCTCTCCTGTCCATCCTCATTATTTCTAACATATGTGGGCCAATTGTTATAGTCAATGTGTGAATCCAGCCAGTTGAAGATCTTCCTCTCTCTCACCGATACTCAACCTTTCCAAGCGTTATATCTTTCTCCAAGGAATAGCTTCCCCAAACAATGCATCCAAAATGTGTGAGATGAAACTTTGCCATACGTTTCTCCAAGGGACATTCTGGCTGCAATTTCTCCAAGACATTTCTGTTTGTTATTTTGGCAGTTCATACAGTACACTTCTCCAACAACACAGCTCAAAGGCATAGATATATTCCTTATTCACTGTCCAGGTTTCAGATGCAAATTAAGTTATTGAAAAGATAATGGTCCGAACTAGCCATATTTTAACCTCAAAACTGATGTAATTGTTCCTCAGTAATTTGGAGAGTTCCCCTGACTCCAAACTTTCCAAAAGCAATATGATCCCTTTCTTCTGATTACTGGTAGCGTGGGTGTGGGTCCAAATAAGATGAAACTGTTGACAGTTTCAATCTTTTCCTCATCTATCCTTATGATATGTATTGGTCCACTGGTGAGAATGATTGTTTTCTTGATGTTAAGTAACAATCTATCAGTAATACACTCAATTAGACTCCCAAAATAAGACCCCAGGAATCGATGGGATACTAATTGATGTGTTTCAAACAACAGAGGAAGCCCTGAAGGCACTCACCACACTATCCCAGGAACTTTGGAGGATTGTTGCCTGGCCCACTGACCGGAAGAGACCTGTATTTGTTCTCACTTCCAAGAATGATGACCCAACAGAATGTGGAAAGTATAAAAAACATCATTAATATCAAATGCAAGCAAAATACCATTAAAAATCATTTTTTAAAAATGGCTAGAACAGTACATAGAAAGAGAACTATCAGAAGTTCAAGCTACAAATAGAAGAGGTCATGGCACCAAAATGATCATTGCTGATGTCAGTGGAATCCTGACTGAAAGCAAAGAATATCAGAATAATATAGATTTGTGTATTATTTGACTGTGTGATTATAAATATTATTGCTAACATTGAAAAGAATGGGAATAAAAACTAAATTGTGGTCATACGGAATCTATACATAAGACAAGAAGCTATAGTGTGAACAGAGCTAGGAAATACTGTATAGTTTAAAATTAAGACAGGCATGCTTCAGGGTTGTATCCTTTCATCATGCCTATTGAATCTGCATGCTGAGTAGATTATTTGAGAAGCTGGACTATATGAAGATGAATTCAACCTCAGGATTGGAAGAAGACATATCAATAACATTCTATATACAGATGACACAACTTTGCTTGCAGAAAGTGAGGAGGCCTTTGAAACACTTGCTGCATATGAACAAATCCTGCAGACTTCAACACGGATTGCATCTCAATATCAAGAAAACAAAAATTCTCACCACTAGACTAATGGATGGCATCATAATTGATGCTGAAAAGACTGACACTGTCAATGACTTCATCCTATTCTGTTCCACAGTCAGCAGAAGCCTTGTGTACTGTGAAAGTCTGAAACCAGGAATATCTCCAAATAACTGAGGAATAATGATGTTAGTTTGAGGACTAATATGTGCCTGATTCAGACTATGGTCTCTTCAATGACTTGCTATGTTGCTGAGAGTTGGACAATGAATTAGCATGATGGAATAAAATTGATGTCTTAGACGTGTGGTCTGGATAAAAGTACTAAATATTACATAGATAGCCAAAAGACAAAACAGATATGTGTTGGAGAAAGTGCAGTCAGAGTATTCCTTAAAGAATGGTGAAGCTTTGCCATGAATACTGTGGGCATGTTGCTAGGAAAGGTTGTTCTTGGAGAAGAACATCATGCCTGGAAAGGTGAAGAGATGGTGAAGGAAAAGAAAACACTTAACCACATAGATTTACATAGTGATGGCAATTGACATGTTCCAAATCCCAGATGCAGCCCTGGATCTGCTCACAAGTCTATGACAAGAAATTTGGAGGACAGTTTCCTGGCAGGCTGCTTGGAAGGGATCAATATTTCTTTCAATTACCAAGAAATATGTTCCAATAGAATGTGAAAATAATAGAATAATATTATTACCACATGAAAGCAAAATATTACTGAAGATCATTCAAAAGTGGCTGGTACCGTACACTGGCAGGGAAATGCCAGAAGTTCAAGCTGGGTTTAGAAGAGGCTGAGACACTAGGGATATCATTGCTGATATCAGATGTATGCTGACTGAAAGCAGAGATACTACAAAATATCTATCAGTGTTTTATTGAATATACAAGTGCCTTTGACTGTGTAGATCATAACAAACTATTACTAATATTGAGCAGAATAGGAATCCCATAATTCTTGATTGTGTTCATGTGAAATCAACAGCTTGATAAAGAAGTTGTTCTCCAAATGGGGCAAGAGAACACTGCATGATTTCCAATCAGGAAGCGTGTGAGTGAGAATGCTTTCATTCTCCATACCTATTTTATTTATATACTGAGCAATGTGAAACTGGGCTCTATAAAGAGGAATGTGGCATCAGAATCAGAAGAAGGTTCATCAACAACCCGCATTATGCAGATGACATATTGTTGCTTGCTGAAATTTAAGAGAATTTGAAACACTTTGCTGCAGATGATAAAGAACTACAACCTTTGGTATGATTGCATCTAAACATCATGTTGACAAAAATTCTGACCATTGAACCAATAAACAATATTGTCATACATGGAGAAAATATTGAAATGGTAAACAATTTCATCTTACTTGGATCCATAATCAGCATACTTGGTAACAGCAGTCAGGATATTAGGAGATATATTGCATTGTGTAAGTCTGCTATCAAAAATATCTCCAAAATATTTAAGAGCAATGATGTCAGCTTAAACACTAGGGTGTGCAGGTTCAGGCCATAGTCTCTGTTATTAAATGCTATAAATTTGAGAGATAAACAATAAACCAAATAAAAATTACAGGAATAATTAATGCCTTTGGAGTTTTATGTTGGGGAAGGGTATTAAATATCCATGGACTCTCAAAGAACAGATATGTCTTAGAAAAGAGTACAGCCAGAATTCTCCTTAGATGTGAAGATAACAAACCTTGTCTCACAATCTTTATACTTCTTGCTAGGAGAGGCTATTTTACTTGGAAAGAAACATCTTGTTCAGAAAATTAGAATGTGTCTGAAATAGAGGAAAACCTCAACAAGATAGATTGACACGGTGACCGCAGCAATAGGCTTGAGTTTGTCAAAGAGGAGAATACCATAGATTAAGACCAGTTTTAGGTCTTTTTTTGTAAGATCACTATGAGTCATACTTGTCTCTATATAGCATTTAACAACAATAACAATCTTTCTTGTTTCAAACTTCTGCATTCCAATGAACATTCAAGTAACTTGATTGCATGTTTGATTAATTTAATATAATTTATCACAAACTCACTCAATCACTACCATTGTATTAGTTCATAACAGGAGTAGGACAACTTTCCCTTGATATTGTAGATCTGCTGTTAGACTCCAACTATGAAAAATATACAACATTTTGGTCAGCCAGGCAACTATCTTTAAAAAAGATGCCCACTAATAGTTTCTCCAGAGTGGACAGAAATGTTAATTTTTTATGGGTTTACTGATTGGTTACTATATTTTAATAATAATGATATTAAAATAACTTCTTTGTGTAGATATATGGGTATTATTCTATAATATAATGGCAGTGTTTCACTTAAGCAATATCTTGTAATTTTCTTTTTGATAATTATCTTTTTAATACCATTTCCTTTCCACTTCTGACTCTTCATATAGATTAGCAGTCCAAGACATTATGTTCTGGCCTTCTTATGATAAATTATATGATTGTCTAGTTTGGAAGCAGGAGCAGCATCTACTGCCTAAACAACATGCCTCTGGAAACTATGAACTTTGAAAAATTATGATAGTTATAGAAAGACTTCAGGTCTTTTGTTCATAGGGTTGATATCAGTCGTGCTCACCTTGAAGGCAATCAGCATGCAGCAAGCAATCAAAAATGACCAATGTTAGTTAGTTAGTTATTTTCACTTAATGTAATGGTCTAATACTACTAACCAAAAGATTGTCAGTTGAAATCTATAAGATGCTATATGGAATAAAAATAAACTCTTCCTACGAAAAATAGAAAACTGGAGTCCTGTGACTTGAGATTAACTTTTGACTTTGGTTATTTCCTGTCTAGTATATAAATTTTTACATGCCACATTTCAATGTTGACAATTTCCTATTTTTCTCAAGTATTCTTCTTCTATCTTTTAATTGTGAATGCATGTTTACAACTGTTACTTTTAATTTCTAGATTTGTCACATCAATATATGAAGCTCATCTTCTGACATTCTGTTCTGCTTATAGTCTTAGGATTTTCATTGCTTGTTTTTATTTCAGAAGTATATCCCCAAACCTTTTACCTAAGCTGTGTTTGCATGGAAGTTCCAATGAAAACTGTTCACCCTGGGTTACCCTGTTATTACTTAAAATGTCAGCTGTACAGATTCCATTATCAAAGGAACATTCAAGATATTATAGTGAGACAAATTTATTGATGATTGGTGCAATATTTTTCATAAAAAATTGAAAACAACAACAACAAAACCAACCAAACACATTTAAAGTATCACTAAGAAATCAAGGCAAATACATTGAATTTTTGTGGTTTAAAATGTCTTTATATATACATTAATTTACTAAGAAAATGTCAATTATAATATCTCCTGTGCAAATTATATAAATATAATATCCCATATTGAATCTTATTTAATTTGGTAAATGACATTTTGGAATGAAATTATATGAAGCTAGTCCAGTTTTTTGTTAATACTGGAAAAGAAACAAGTTTCTATTGAATATATTTTAAAGTGAAATTTAAAGCCTGAGAGAGGGGCTTTTTTAATTGATAACATGGCTCAATGTCTGACCGTTACTTGTATTTTTTTTATTGGCTAGAGCTCATGCAACGATTAACAATTATACTTTAATTCCTTTTGGTAAATCATGTAAAGGAATAGAAGACATTTTTCAAAAATTAAATCTACACAATACAGGCAAAAGCGAAGAGAACGGTGACAAATTTTTTTTACAAGAAAGATGGCTTAATATTCTCAACATACCTTTCTCTCATAACCCTTAGTAGAGTACATAATCTATAATGTCATTGTTCTCTTATTTATCATTGGTATTCCATTTATTAGCTCTACTATCATTTTTTTGTACCAAAGCAAGTTCTGTTATAGCCTACAAGATATGGAGAAAGGGACTACTTTCTGCATTAATTATATTGGCTCATTTTAAGAGTGTTTAACATCATTGCTTTTCTATTTACTATTCATCACAATTCAGTTAAATGAGAAAAAGACAACCTCTTTAACAAATGGTTCTGTCAAAGTTGAAAAACCATTTGCAGAAAACAAAAAAAAAAGGCACACACCTAACATCATACACAAAATCTAATTCAAGGTGAATTAGGGATTTAGGAATAAAATCAAATACTATGAAGTTAATCAGAGGAAAACTAGGAACAACTCTAGAAGGCCTTATACATGATATGAATAGTGTTCTAAGCATAAAGTAAAACAAATAAGAGAAAACAAAACAGATTATTGTTGTTGTGTACTGTCAAGTTGGAACCAACCCATAGCTTACCCTCCATTAGGTTTTCAATGACAGTTAATTGCACAGAAGAAAATTGCCCATCTTTCACCTATGGTGTACATATGTACATAAAAAAATCAACAGCAAAAATAAACCAATAAACAAACCTTCTCCAATAGAGTAAAAAGGAAGACTGGGAAAAACGTTTGACAATGACATATCTGATAAAGAGCTCACATGTAAAATTTAATGAATTTTTCACCACTTGAAGAACAACAAAAAAGATGAACAACCCAATCACAAAAGACACACAAGATATTTATAGAAACATCAGCAAAGAAAAAATCTATAGAGCCAACAAAAATGTGAAGAAATGTTCAAAATACCTCCTTATTGGAAAGATTCAAATCAAAAGAACAGTGAAATATCCATTCATTTCAGCAACGAAAGTGAAGTTCAACAGGGCAGCAAACAATAAATGCTACTGAAGATGTAAAAAGATTAGAACCCTCATTCTCTGAGGAAGAGAATGTAATATGCTAAAGCCACTATCCACAGTGTCCGGCACTTTCTAAAAAATGTCAGAAATAGAAATATCATTAACCCAGCTATCACATTGCTGGGAGTATTTACTAAAGAAATCAGAGCTGTGATGCAGACAGGTGTATGTTTTTGTTGTTGTTAAGTGCCATCTAGTCGCAGACGACTCATAGCGACCTTATGAAAGAGAGTCCCCGACACTTGGGTGCCTTTCATCCTCTCTCCAGGCTCATAGGGTTTCCGGAGGCAAGCTACTATGGAAGTGGATGCCACTCCTCTTTCCAAGCTTGTTTTAATCAGGGAGCTCCACGCCACTCTCTGTCCACATTGGGTAGCCAACCATTAACGCATTTGACACATCAGTGTCACAGTTGTTAGGTTTATTAGAGAAATAGGTTGGAGAGTGGGGGAGGCAAAATATAACACAAGATGCAAGTCCAGGTTTAGTCCAGCCATATTAATGTCAAGACATAATTCCTCAGTTAGTAGCCAACCAGTGAATGTCTCGGCTCTTAGTTCAGCAGCATTAATTCAAGAAGCTTCTGGTTTACTCAGTTATCTAGAAAACTTTATCTCAGAACAGTTATAATTCAGTTTTTCCTTCAATCTTACCTTAAGTGAAACTTTAACTGTAGCATATATGCAGGGTTCCTCTGGTTACAGCTTGCATTATTAGTGTCACTCTTCCTCCTATGATTACATTTTCAAACCAGTGTCACAGTCTATACTCTTTCTCCAACACCGTCATCAAGATACCTTACAGTGTGGAACGTTCTCTTATAGTGATTCCGGAACTGTGGATGATTTGTAAGATAATATTCCTTCAGTTAAGGTAACTGGAGACCATGCCTTGCCTCCCCCATGGGGGATAACACAATGGCTAGAAAAGCCAAATTTTAGTTTTTGACACCACTGATATA